TTATATAACGTAACGTGATATCAAAGGTTTTCTGGGTCTCGCTTTGACGCATGCGCATTAGAAGCTGAAGTTTAATGAACGATGTTAAAATTCGTTCGAATTACTCGTGTGTTCATATTGGGGCGGAGACAAATAGATGAGCTCATATTTTGATGACGAACGTATCTATTTTGTGGAAAACTCATACAAACCATTACAACTGAAAAGTTGGGAGAAAAATAATCGTGAAACGATTGAAGCGGCGGCTGCTCCGCCTTTCCGGGCTGCCCAATGCTTTCCAAACAAGCGCTCCTCCTAGAGCTGAGGCCACCTGAGCCGCCCGCACCCGTGTCTAGGTAACACAACGGTCAACAAGCAGCCGCTTTCGCCTCCTGGTGCAACACGTATGCGGTTATAACAAAAAAATTACATGCAAAACAAAAACTCATTATCGCTGATAGTTTAATTTCAGCAGACTAATCATCATGGCCGAAGGTTCGGTTCGAGTTGACCCGCCGGTCCTGGAGTTTAAAGATGTAGAAGTCGGCCATGTTTACAGGAGAGCCGTGACGGTGACGAATGTTGGAAAAACCTCGAAGAACATCAGGATTGAGAAGCCCGTGTCCAAGGTAACAATTGATAAGTGTTTTATAAAACATTAATAAAATCACGAGTGTGTTATAAACCATTAATACAACCATAAAAAGTTTTATAAACCACGAGTAGCTTCAGAGTTGAAGGAGACGAAAGCTAATTTCGAATTAGCAACAAGCTAACGACCGAAAAACTTTTTTTTTTGACAAAAATTCAGGTTTTGTCAGTATTTAGTGAGACAATTTGACGTTTTATCTGTCAGTAACTAGTTTAATTTGTGTTCTGAATAATCTTATTATATTATATTAATAAATTGTACAGTTTTTTCCCATCGTGGAAACCAGTGTTATAAACTATTTCGACCAGTCTGAACTAGTTTCTCGTATTTAAATTTTATATTTATACACGGAATATCTCAGTGCTTTTATAAAGTATTCACCCCCCTTGGTTGTTTTATGTTTATAATGTTGTTTTAAATCAGTCATGGTTTAAATAATTTGACCTGATACAAAAAAACCCACAATGTGAGGAGAAATCTACAGAGTAATAATAAAATAATATAAAATGATTACATTAATTTTCACACTCTTAAATGTGATTGACGTAGTTAAACTCGAAGAAAAGATGACTGAAATATTTAACACAAAATGGAAACAGGATTTTCAGGGTCCTAAACGTGTATTATTCATCCAAGGAGTAGTACAGGGTTAATGTGTAAACCTAGCAGGAAAGAAGACACGGCTGGAGAAAACTCAGATTAAATCTGGGTTACAGTTTGTTTTGAGACAGTGGCAGCTCTTGAGCGTAATTATTCGTGGGGTGAATATTAATTTCCTGAACCAATAACAATAATGAGTTACAGTTTGTGGTACTTTTTGAAAAAGTTGCAGCCCCTGAGCTTTAACTCAGAGGGTCCTGACAAGGATTGAACTGGAAGAATAATGATTAGAAGGCTGTGTCCAAAACGACAGGCCGGGCAGTTTTTCCCAAAGTTGGGGTCGGGACCCAAAGTGGGGTCCCGAAACATCAAGGTGGGGTCCTGAAAAGATTTTCTGAATTAATTACATTTTTGTCTTAGTTGTTACAAAGGAGTGAGGTTGGTGTATTTAAAATGGATAAATGTAGTATAAAATATTGTTACTATGCCCATTGTAGAGGTAACCC